GTTTTTATAAGTAATTTAATATTATAAAAAGCATATAAAGTTTGGTAACCCATAATGCAATAAAATATTCGGTTTTTCCAAAAAGGTATTATGTATTTATTTCAGACAAAGTACTAGTGAACATTGTAATTCTGATTCTAGCAATTGAGATCAACTGTCTAGCAATAAATGGATTCCCTGGTCGCGAAAAGTGTTATTGAGGACATTTGATTATTTCGAAAATTACGCAAATATGGAAGAGTCTTGGATGCTATCTAAATTAAATATTATCTGACAGTTTGCTGGCCTTCAAACTCTACAAAAATTATATAAAAAGGATAAGTATTTATTTTACCCACACTGGGCTTTCAAAAATATTACTTTATGTCATTAAATAGGTATAATCACATAAAATATAAATATTTTGCCAAAATTATGTAGCTATGCCATCGATTCGATGTTATATAATAAAAGTTTATGAACGGCCAAACTCGTTCGACTCGCTATCTCCAAGCGATGATACTATTTTAAATACTTGGATTAGTGATGACTAATCCCCATCTTTCTTGATAACTTACCTTTAAAGGTAAATGCAAACTGGTGAAAAATGTGCCAGTATAAAAAAAAATTCAAAACTAGCCTAACCTGGTAAAGAAAGAAGAAAGAAAGAAAGAAAAATAATTTATTTGGTACAACACCAGGCACAAACACAATACAATAAATACAATGCAAACAAAAAATTAGGAGTGAAATAGAAAAATTAAAAAAAAAACATAAACAGATGTAGGTAGGTATATACAAAATTTAAAAAGTTAAATATACCAACAATAATCATGTGCCTGACAGCTGCACCAAAAAAGGTCCAGTTCAGCATAAATGCCAGACATCTAGTGCCTGACGCTGGTTTTCAACTGAACCTGTGGCTGTGACGCAACGGACGTAAGCAGTAAATGCAGAGTAGCGTGTGAAGTGTATTATAAAATTATTAAGTAATTAATATAGTTATACCATAATACATACATACATATAATAATAGGGTATAGTAATTAGCCAAAAAAGATTTATTAAATATGATAAAAATTATATTGCGTGTGTATGAACAGAATGCACGGGTACATTACTTATATAATTGAGGTATTTTGCACCACCATATCAAGCCTTCGCTGTGTATCGATGAGGTATTGTCGCAAGTGTCTTCTAAATGCACCCATTGAAAAGAGTCTACTGTCTTCTGGCTTTCCCGATTAAATTATCTTTTTTTTGGTGTCTCATATATAAACCTTCTTCATTGGTATTAAGCTTTTATGATTCTTCTGTGGTACAAATAGAAATGTCTCACAAACAAATAAAACTCTTTTAAGTTGAATGTTTTCGAAGCACCACGCGTAGGCGCATGGAGGCCGAAAGGCCTAGATTCTAAGTCAAATACTACCTAATTATTAGTCTGCTACGTAACAATTAAAAATTCAAATTTTTTACTTACTTGAAAAGCTAGCTTAAACCGTCATTATAGACACAATTAAAGACAATAGGTTGCGGCCACCGGTGTCATCGCGGTGTTTGACAGTTTAAAACTAATGACAGTCTTCAATCCAAATCCTTCAATTAGATTAAAGTTCATTGAAAACACGATCACTACAGCACACAGTGGTGCCCTGCATGGGCTAAGCACCACCGTGTCCTCAGGAATGTGATCGACGATGGTAACCTCTCGCGTCTGGCTCAGGTTACACAAAAAAAAGAAAAAAACAAAAGTTTATAGT